AGGAAAGCAGAAGTGTCTCGCCTCATATTTAGATGTTTTATTTTTTAATTCTCAGAGATCAGAGATAACACACACACACACACACACACACACACATATATATATATATATATATATATATAAAAAGCAGAGAACATCAGAATGAAACCTCTCTTCATCTCTTCATCTTAGCTTTGACCGCTAAACGATTTGTCTCCAGTGATTTCAAGTGTAGAAGAGGCTATTTTTGAAGCTGCAAATGAAACAACATCTGTGCACCACCACAGAAAAAAAGTTTTGAGTTAGTATCACCTGGAAAATGATTTAGTGATGACTGTTTTTCCCTTTAAATCAGATTCAACATGGGCAGAAGCTGAGAGGTGGTTTGATGAAGGGCTGGGCTCTGGAAAAAGTCATCTTCAATCTCTGGGCCACTCTAGAGATTTATAAATGAAGTTTTTATGAAAAATGGCAGGAATCCGTCTCTGACTGCGTATCTTTGAAGTGAACAAACAAAACGAACCATTGCATAAGTATTCTAAATGTTCTGTGTCTGCAGATTCCTGCAACTTCCATGAATCTGAATGAAGCCCTGCTGGCATTCACGTGGCAGATTTCACAAGCGCAGGACAACTGAGCCATCTGAGAGGACCGTCCGTCCTGAGTAGCGTCTGCTCGTTTGATCTGGTCTGGATCCCAGTGAGCCCAGTCCCAAGGAGTGGGCTTGGCTTGCATCACGTGATGTTTTCATCCTCTCTGTCCGAGTCTCGCACGACTCACTGTGTCACGTGGAACGCAAGAGATGAATCATGGAAATGACTGAATAACAAAACTATTAATAGAGATTTTTAAGGTATTTTTTTAAGGGATGATGTTGTTGAAGCCATGTTTGTGTGTGTGTTGCTCTGAGTCACAGAGGTACACCTGCCTGGTTTCTGAGGGAAATGCGAGCCCACCCAAACGCTTCAGGCGTGTTTTTGCAGACATTACATGGATAGTTTACACATTTGTGGTCATGGCCTCATCAAGAAGTGAAAATTCATTCCTCGTTTTTTCTCTTCTGCTCATTCTTTCCAGTCACACGCCTCCTTCCACTCGTTTCTGTCCGTCGTGTGCAGACATGTCTTCAGTCATCACAGAGTCAACTGTGTCTGATTCCTCCACTGAGTTTTTTTGTTTTGGGCCTGATTTCCTTCAGAAAACTCCCGATAGCTGCGCACAACATGTGTTTTCGGTCCTGCAGGCTTTCTTTCGTCTTGCTTCTTGTTCATCTCCCGTCTCTGACACAGCTGAATGCAGCAAGACGAGACTCCACAAGAGTCCTTAAACGTCTCTCTCTCTAATGCCAAACCCCAATCATTAGGAGCAAATTAAAGATGATTGAACTCCAAAATTCTTCTGCAAGTAGCCTCAGATTGTGCTGTTTTTGCCTGTAAATACTGAGACATGATATTTGGCGAGGAAACAAAACCGCAGCCCGATGTGAATGCTTTGTTGCTGAAGCTGAAACAGCATCTCTCTGATTCTTGTGTCCAGGCTGTAATGTTTATCTGTCTGTCTGGGTGCTGCTGTTTCCTGGCATGTAGTGTCCCCGTTTCTGGTTTGTTTACCAATGGCGAGGATTGGCTCTCACAGAGCTATTCATGGAGTTCTGCAACTGAGTTTAATGTAATTTGAGGTTACGTAACTCTCAGATATGCCCTACAGCAATGTTGTTCATGTTAGCTTTATCGTAACTCTTCTGAAGACGTGTGGGGGTGAAGGTGCTGAGTGCATGAGTGGTGCACTTTGTTTTGACATCCAGTAACTTCAGAAATGATCCCACTTCGACTTTCACCTGAACTATGCTGGTACTAATGTGTGAGACTACCAAAAACAAGTTTACACGTTGCTTAAAAAAGTGTTTATTGGACTTGAGGAATTAGCATCATTTAAACTGAGCTCATAATTGGAAATGACTTCCATTTGGTGTAAAGCAGTTAAATCAAATAACAACTGAGTCCGTTCTCATTTGATGTAAACAAATTCAGTCTCTTGTGGAATACTTGGGTCCAAGTTATTCTGATATTCTGAAGACACATTAACTTTATATGAGAAAGTACAAAACTAGCCTAAGCTAGTTTAAAAATGGTGGCTTTAGAGGGAACTTTAAATATGGCCGTGTTTGTGTCCCAAGTGTTGAAGAGTAACCAAAGGAAAATGTAGAAAATCAAGAATTTAGAGGAGAATGATGTTTTGTAGATTTACAGATGGATGGATGGATGGATGGATGGATGGACTGGTGGATGGATGGTTGATGGATGGATGCACAAATGGATGGATGGATGGACTCGTGGACAGATGGGTGATGGATTGATGCAAGGATGGATGGATGGATGGATGGATGGATGGATGGATGGATGGATGGATGGATGGATGAACTATTGGACAGATGGATGATGGATAGATGCACAGATGGATAGATAGATAAATGGATGGACAAATGGGTGGACTGATGGATGGATGGATGGATGGATAAATGGATGGATGGATAGATGGACTGGTGGATGGATGGTTGATGGATGGATGCACAAATGGATGGATGGATAGATGGACTCGTGGACAGATGGGTGATGGATTGATGCAAGGATGGATGGATGGATGGATGGATGAACTATTGGACAGACGGATGGTGGATAGATGCACAGATGGATAGATAGATAAATGGATGGACAAATGGGTGGACTGATGGATGGATGGATGGATAAATGGACTGGTGGACGGATGGATGGATGGATGGATGCACAGAGGGATGGATGGATGCACAGATGGATGGATGGATGCACAGATGGATGGATAGACTGGTAGATGGATGGGTGAAAGATGGACAGATGGACAGATCAACGGATGGATGTACTGGTGAACAAATGGATGATGGAATGATGCACAGATGGATGGATGCATGGATGGGTGGACTGATGGACAGATGGATTCACAGATGGATGGATGGTCTGGTAGATTGGTGGGTGATGGACTGATGCACAGATGGATGGACTGGTGGACAGATGGATGCACAGATGGATGGACTGGTGGACAGATGGATGATGGATGGATGGATGGATGGATGGACTGGTGGACAGATGGATGATGGATGGATGGATGGATGGATGGATGGATGGATGGATGTACTGGTGGACAGATGGATGATGGATGGATGGACTGGTGGACAGATGGATGATGGATGGATGGACTGGTGGACAGATGGATGATGGATGGATGGATGAATGGATGGATGGACTGGTGGACAGATGGATGAACAGATGGATGGACTGGTGGACAAATGGATGATGGATGGATGGATGGATGAATGGAAGGATGGATGGATGGATAGATGGATGGATTATTACATTGAAAGAATGTAATTGTACTTGTTCTTTGCACCAGATGACCCCAGAGATGTCCAGAAGATGATGAAAGAAAACCATCTTCACCTAATTAAAAATTGTTACTTTCAGTTAGTCCAGCATCAGCAGCATTAAAGTCTCCTCCTCATCTTCTCTTTCTAACCAAGGCTGTGTGGAACCATGATTTAATAACTTCATCATGTTGCAACTGTGTCCCTTAAAGACCAAAGCACTGTTCTGCCACCAGAGTGTTCCGCTACTCTGAACATGGTCCAAAACCTTCTCACCTGAGAGACCAACAGCCAAGAACATACCGTAAGTGTCCTTTTACAAGTTGATTCCCTCTGCCTCTCTGTGATCTGATTTGAACGTTTGTCTACATTTTCCAGTCTGAACTCTGAACATTGGCATCTAAACTCAGACTGGTGGTCTTTCTTAGTGAGATTGAGTGACTGTTGGAGGAGGTTTAGGTCCAAACTGTTCTCCTTGTTGTTCTTTGATTGCATAAAACAAACTAAACGCTTTCAGGTCCATCTAAAAGTCCTTTAGACAGACGATAAGCTTCACAGGATTTGGATGTTCCAGATTCATCCTGAGGTCAGACCACACAACACCCGAGGAACTGTAAAACAAAGCCAAAGCTCCATCTCAGGTTGTACAGGTCTCAGTCATCAAGTTAAAAGTTCATGACAGAAACGGAATGAACACGTTTGGTTTGTTTGGAAGGATCGCCGAGAGAAAACTGTTCTCTTTTAAAAGAACATGGCAACCCGTGTTAGATTAGCAATAATTGAACCACATGTCTTGTGTAACAAAGGAGATCAAGACCTGTTACCCATAATGCACATCACCATGTTTGGAGAAAACCAAGCAGCATTTCAGCCCAAACGGCTGATCCCGGCTGTCAGGATGGTGGTGGGAAGACGATGGTTTGGGCTCCTTGCAGTCACTGAATCTACTTTGGACTCCTCTGTAGACCAAAGAGCCAGATTTGAGTCCATCTGTCTGAGACAGCTGAAGTTTGGTCAAAACTGGGTTTGAAAACAGAACACAGCAGCATATCTACACATTGGCAGTTCTGGGGGGTGGGAAGACAGGGATTTGGCCCATGCTGAAATCAGATTGGCCCCCTGTCCTTTCATTCATCTGTTTTTTGCACGATGACCAGATCGTAGGTGGATGCAATTCCACCTCCAAACACTAGTGGCGCTAATGAGCTATATAGAAATCTCCGGAGTGAAATCGTGTGTAAGGATGTTGGACTAACACTTGGCCCCCCTATAAATATTGTTGCCCCTTGGTGGCCCCATTGTCAGAAAAATCCTAGCTCTGCCTCTGGATCTACAGCAGAATGACAACGAGAAGGTGGATTCTCTTGTGTTCATTCAAGGTTCTCTTAGAATCGTTTCAGACCTCGATAGCTTTCAGACAAACGAACGTACGAGCCAGCCTATGAAGTGTCCGCTCGGTGGATGTTTCTTTTCTTGCTGCCGTGGTGGAAAACGGATGAATCCTGTCACCTACCTGCCGTAAAACAGGTTAGACCACCCCATGCCAGAACCTCCCACCCTCTGTGTTTATCCTCAGCTTGTTTTTCTCCAGGCCTTTCCGTCCGCCACAGCTCTGCTGCTCAACGAGGGCGTGGGAGTCAGAGAGACAGTGAGCTAATACTTCAGCACCGTTAAATGATGGAAAAGAGGGCTGATAGCATAAGAGGGGAGGAGTGCTAAAAGGGCGGGAGAGGAAAAGAGTTGGTAGGTAGGAAATGAAGGGGTGGGTTGAGATGAGTATATAAGATGCGTTGTGGAGATTTGGGGAATATTCATCAGGATAAAGACGTAACTCCAAAACCTTTTCCTTCATCCCGGTCGTTTACGGTAAGTTCCTGCAAAACCAAAACATCGTCTATTCGATCGATTTTTGCACATTTAAATTTAGCATTATATTGTTTAAAGAGCAACAAAGTATTTCAGATTGCATTTTTTCAAATAAATATTCAGATTTAAAAATGTTGCAACAAGTAGAGAGTATTAGGACAGCGTTTATTTTGCTCTTTACACGATGAGGATCGAGTCTGTGGCTTTTTTAAAGTCTGCAGGATCAAAGATAGAAACATCACACACACACACACACACACGTTTTTACCATTTACTGGAAGTTCCTCTTTGAACTCTGAGTCCTGGGCTTGTGTGTGAGTTTGCCTGAGTTTGCTGCTGTGAGTGTGTGTGTGTGTGTGTGTGTGTGTGTGTGTGTGTGTGTGTTTAATGAAAGCTGCTATTGATGGGAAAACGCAGGAGTGCTGATGCGGAATTCCATCTGAATCCCACAAGAAGAAGACGGAGGAGGACTCTGGTCTGTTTGAATATCTGTGTGTAGTCTGGCCTTGGCCTGCTAGTCCAGGTGTGAGATGTTTGAGTCTGAATCACTTATTGATGTGATGGTCCACCGATGTGCCACTCAATTAAATAATTCTTTGTATAAACTTATAAAAATAATGGAAAGGATTGCCACATGATTAAATTGCTTTAGTTCAGCATCACACGTTTCTGTTATCCTAACTTAAAGTACTTGTGTTGAGCCAAAGTAATTCACCATCGTTGAGTTAACTTATTTGCTACAGTTGGATGTTGGTTAATTAGTTAGGATCAACTTCATTAATTACAAACGTTTTGATCCTACTTAAATCAATAAGTTTGGTCCTACTAAATCTCCTCATTTGCACCCAACTTGATTTAATAAAGCTGATCTAACTAATTTTACAGTAGTTAGATTAACATTAGTAATTGACGTTGCTCAAACCCATGGAAATCATGTTAGCCCAACAAAAGGAGTTAATGCTGAAAGAAGGCTATTTAATCACGTGGTAATTCTTTCCATGATTTAATTATGTTAACTTAAATAATAGCTTTTACGTTCAATAAAATACGGTCTCCGTCAAGTAACCTTTAAAATAAAGTCTAATGTCACTGCAATGACAGTAGTTAAAGTACTGAATTGACATTATGGCTAAACTGAAATAAAAATCAACTTTTAGTCTGTTTTGCAGTGTCATCAACTCAACCACAGCATGCAGCTGCAGGTTCTGGTCTCAGCCTGTTCAGTAAAATCATTTTGGACTCAGTTGGCAGCAGGACTGATTCTCTCCACCACAGCTTAACTCTTCATTACTAACTGAGATTTAAATGGAGACTTCAGATCGGTCTGAACTTTAGTTCAGAACTTTTCTGTTTCTATACAATCTCTGTTTGAGGATTTCTTCATTTAAAACACGATTTCCTCTTCCTCTGTTTATCTTCCTCGTTGACCCAAATCACCAAACATTTTCTCTCCTTTGCCAGCAGAGAGGCAGGTTGGAAGACCCGAGATGAGGAGCCTCCTCCAGCTTGTGGCGCTCTGCGCCACCCTCTCCCTCTGTGTCTGCTATGGTATAAATTCTCCATGAAGCCCTCATTTTGCTGTCACATAGCAATCAAAAATCCAAACAAGCAACAACAATGTTCTAGAAATGCATCGCTCAGGATTAACCCGATTCCATGTTTTTCCCCCGTAGATTCTCATGAAAGCACAGAGTCCAGAGAAGGTGAATCAAACGTTTAAATCTCACAATTGGAAAAACATGCATGCATATTAATTTTAACAAAGCCTGCCACACATTGTCACACATTTCATCCTAATTTTACCTCTCACTAAAATATAAAACATGCCACTTTTGTTTTTTTCCCTCACTCCTGATCTGCCGCATGTTCAACGTGACCCATACGTGACTGTTGTTTAGTAACGTTTTGTAGTTCCAGATCTGTTTGTGCGCCCAAATCAAGCCAACTCGTTCATCTCGAGCAACAGATTCAACCAACTGGGCAGGAACCGCTTCAACTACTTCATGAGGTAAAGAACGCGAACCTCATCAGGATGTCTTTATCCTTCACGTGACATTTAAAGGTGCAATATGTAGGAATGATACAGTGAAATAATCACAAAACAGTCTATTGTCTCAATCACGTTGGAAGGAAGGTTACGTTGGATCAGATAAACACTTTTCAAAACGAGTCCCTTTATTACTGTTAGTGCATTATTAAGCATTAATAAACTATTTATCAAGTATTAGCAACTGCTTAACTAAATTAAGAAATGCCTTTCTAAGCAGACACCCCCTCTGACCCTTTGTCCTGACTTTAAGGACACTTAATACTCAACAATAACAGTAACGTTAGTAAAGAGACCCTTTGTTTGTTAATGGTTAATAATGCACTAAGTAATGTTAATGAAGGGACCCTTATTGTAAAGGGTTACCAACAGTTTTTTGCCTTTCAAAAAGGCCAAAGAGGGACGTAGTCCTGTTTATGCCTGTGTGTAATTGGACACCAAAAGAACCCGAGCCAGTAACGGAAGCGACCCAGAAGTCATTTCTTCTTCAGCTTTTTTTTTTTACTCTAATATATGGTGACAAATGCTAGAGGCTAACGCTGAGCTTACAATGCTAATGGCGAATTAGAAGCAAATAGTCAGCTCTAAAATAATCTTATTTTTTAAATTACAAACAACTGGATATTACAATGGAAAGTATTTATGTACTTATCAACTTACTGTGTATGAGTCTCTAGAATCTTCTGGCGCTGATCCATAGCTGGCAACTTCCATCGGGAAAAGAGTGGTCACTCTTTGTTTAGAAACATGGGCTGCAGTACCCGCATCTGACCACAGGATGTCCTTCTTACATCATTCTTACATCACGCGCGAATTCATGTAATTACATTACAATTTTGTTTTCAAAAAGTCTATCAAAGCACAGAAAAATTATATGTTCATGTTTATGTATTTAGCAGACACGTTTGTCCAAAGCGACTTACAAGTGATAATCGGCATGTTGCCCTTGAGGCTAACAACAATAACAACAACAACTTGACATCGATCATGGAGAGGAGGGAACAAGGAGTGGATGGTGGGGGGGAGGGGGGGGGGGTGCAGGGGGGTGCTAGTTTAGAAGATGCTCTCTGAAGACCAGGGTCTTCAGGAGTTTCTTGAAAATTTAAACGGAAGCCGCAGTTCTGGTAATAACCACCCTATTAGGAAGTGTTTTGTGACAGAATCATGAAGATAACCTTCTTTTAACTTCTTTTAAGGAGTCGTGGTGGATGGCTGCTTATACTGAGCCAGGATCCTCTGGAGTTCTCCTGTTAAAAGGGAGTTTTCCTCTCCACTGTCGCTAAATGCTTGCTTAGTATGAGGATTGCTGTAAAGTCACTGACACTAGTCAGTGACTTGATGCAACCTGCTGGGTTCCTTATAGAGGGAACTTTTTACTGATTGGCTTCATGAACTGGCCTGAATTGGAATGTTTGCTGTGTGAAGGTCCTTGAGACGACTCTTGTCGTGATTTGGTGCTTTATAAATAAACTTGAATTGAACTTAAAAAGAGAGATCCAGAACCACCCTAGGCTTGATGCAGCCTCAACCAATCAGATTACTAGAATTTCTCACCTTTTTGTGGAGCAGAGGGGAGAAGGAGCAGCAAACAGGCGCACTAATTTGGACAGGGTTAGGGGTAGCTTATTGAACCGTGTGTGTAGGAGGTTCTGATTATGGCTTTTGGACATTTTTAGGTTCCTAAAGTGTTTATGGAGGGAATACAACACGGTAAAAAGACCGTTTACTTTCTGTTTTGAAAAGAAAGCTTGGTGGAGCTTAACTGTGTAGTCACTGCCCTCTGGGAGGATTTTAGAAGGAAACTGAACGACTGTGTATCCATGAGTCATGTGACCTTAGACGAACATTATGTCCTGCAGTCAGACACTCAGAAGCTCAGAAACCTCAGCGACACCTAAACTTTGATTTTTACCAAACTGAAGACATTTATGTTCTGAGATGAACCCATGATCACCCGTTGGACTGGACTGCTTTCATCCTTTGTTTTTGTTGTATTCTGATTGTTTTATGATCGTGTTCAGCACTTCGGATCACCTTAGCAGGTGTGGAAAGCCCAATATAAGTAAACTTGACTGACTGATTGAGATCTGTGTAGAGCTTAATGCTAATAATAACAACAGTGCATTCCCCTGGAGCACCAATAATTAAATGGCACTTCTTATGTACTTAGATCCTCCAGTAGAGGACGGACGGCTAGAAAATAATTCATTCCAGCAGGTTTTTGAGGAACATAATTGTGTTAAAGTGGTAGAGCCCTTGGGTCTGGCACATTAGGTGTAAAGAAGTCAAGATCTCTGAACATTTAGTGAAGCTTTAAACATTTTATAAACAAGTAAATCAGAATAAAGCAGCTTTTTCTGGTCCTGCAGGAGCAGAAAGCCTCAGTCAGAGATCCGTGCAGAGACCTGCGAGGACTACTCTCCCTGTCGCCTCTACGCCTATCGCTACGGCTACCAGCAGGCCTACCAGAGATACTTCAGAGCACGACTCCCAACACAGCAGGCCTACAGACCAGCTGGGATCCGCGGATTTTAAATCCACAAAAAGAGAACCCCAAACTGCTCATTTATTCCAGTAATCGTCACGTTTTGCTACGTTTGTGTTTCTGTTGTTTTGTTTAAGGAGGAACTGACTGAATCATCCTGAGTGGTTTTTATACTCATTAATCACACATTCCAGCGTCTATTATCATGTATAAGCTTGGACTATCTGTCCGCTGGCTGTTGTGCTACCTGCTCTCCTCTCAATGATCAATATAAGAATAAAATCCTCTCCTTCACCTAATAGATGCTTTACTGTGTGCTGAAATCATATTTCTGTCCTATATGGAGTATTGGAGCCCATCCAGCCCCCTAGCCTAGCCCGTGGCTAACATCATTGTGAAGAGAAAGGTTGAGTATCTACATCATCATGAATGGACCTTTAACCCTTTAAAACCTGATCAGTGACAAATTATTTTCTTTTTTTGAATCAAATTATTCATTTGATTATAAAACCGTCAAATTAATTATTACCGTAAATCCTCTAATATTGGCCTGTATTCCATTAATGTCCTCTCCATTCTCTGTCTTGCATTTTGGGTGATATCAGCTATAGCACCCTCTTCGGTTCGGGGATGCTATTGCGCTGTAACAGAATGAAATGACTGTTTTTCCCTCTCCTCTGACACAGGACTAGTCTGCATGAGATATGGTCTCAAGGTCTCATGCATTTGCTTCTAACCTGCTTATTTTCAGCTCAACAGAAGAATGAAGAATGAACTCTTTTCTTTTAATTAATCAAAGAACTCTATTTTAATGAAGCTAATCCTATCAAGTGTTAGTCAATAATAAGATATGACCAATCTGTGAAATCAATGTATTGATTACTTTATTATAATCCTATAGAATATAAAGGTACTATGACTTTAAATGTTCCACTAAGACTGATCTCACGTAGCGTTAAAAGACATGACACATTACTTTCACTGATCCAATCAGAATCTGCCGGATCTGACGGAGGCGTGGTTTTGATGGTGTTTGGTAAAACCTGTCAACTTTTCATTTGATCGTAAACCAAAACATCCAAAGTATAAAACTATGCCCACGTCATCTCTAACGCCAGTTCAAAGCGTTCCAGAGAAGTGTCGGAGTGGCCATCCGTAACTCTCGCCATTTCCAAACATGGATTGAGTCTGTCAACTGGAAGAAACTGAACTGACTCAGGTGGAATGGGCGGGGCTGACGCTGGTGCTACTACACCTTTGTGGTTCTGCAGCGAGCACCAGTGTTGCCAACTCAGCGACTTTTCTCAGCGCTGTTTCTAACAACTTTTTGACCCCCCTCAATGACTTTTTTTCCAAAAAGCGCCTAGCGACATTTCTCAGGACCCGTTGCTACTTTCTGTAGAGCTTTCTTGTAGATATTCCCTACAGATTAGCAACAAAAACCATTTGATGGTCGAGATGTGTTCTCCTCCTCCTCTTATAGCTGGACCCGCTGATTGTTAATGAGCTGCAGCTGGAGCCTCCCTCTCCTGAAACACAGCAGCTCAAAGATGGAACAAAAATGAGAGGAGCACTCACCCCAGCACATGACATTAACAGCTATTTAGAAACGCAGCTGCAAAAATTGCAGGTAGAAAGTTTGATGCTGTTTTCACGTGTCCTCACCGCAAATAGCTTTTAGACTGTTAATGTTTTTAGCGGTTAGCTCAGTGTTGTAACGTAGCATTGATACCTTAATAAAATCAAACAAATGTACCAGAAATTTGGATTTAAAACGGCATAAAATGTTAGTTAAGTAGATCCTAGCACGTACTCACCATTAGCATTAGCTATCATTACGAGTTAATTACGAAATTAAAATAGCACATCACCCGAGCACAAACTAGACAACGATCATTTAAAGTTTTTCCAGATTTTAAATTGTTAACCAACCTGAAATAAAACCTGCATTACTGGCATGTTTACTATGTTTTTGTTGCCATACAGGGATTTAGCCTGAAATAAAAAGTTTTTGTTGTAAATGTTCTATATGCATACCATACATTGTCGTCTTCCTCCGCTTATCCGGGTCCGGGTCGTGGGGGCAGCATCCCAACTAGGGAGCTCCAGACCGTCCTCACCCCGGCCACCTCCACCAGCTCCTCCGGCAGGACCCCAAGGCGCTCCCAAACCAAATTGGAGATGTAACCTCTCCAATGTGTCCTGGGTCGACCCGGGGGCCTCCTGCTGGCAGGACATGGCCGAAAAACCTGCCCAGGGAGGCATCCAGGAGACATCCTGACCAGATACCCAAACCACCTCAACTGACTCCTTTCGATCAGGAGGAGCAGCGGTTCTACTCCGAGTCCCTCCCGAATGTCCGAGCTCCTCACCCTATCTCTAAGGCTGAGCCCGGCCACCCTACGGAGGACACTCATTTCGGCCGCTTGTATCCGCGATCTCATTCGTTCGGTCATTACCCAAAGCTCATGACCATAGGTGAGGATTGGGACGTAGATCGACCGGTAAATCGAGAGCCTGGCTTTCTGGCTCAGCTCCCTCTTCACCACGACAGATCGGCTCAGCGTCCGCATCACTGCAGACGCCGAACCAATCCGCCTGTCGATCTCCCGATCCCTCCTACCCTCACTCGTGAACAAGACCCCGAGATACTTAAACTCCTCCACTTGAGGTAGGACCTCTCCCCCGACCCGGAGTTGGCAAGCCACCCTTTCCCGGTTGAGAACCATGGTCTCAGATTTGGAGGTGCTGATCCTCATCCCAGCCGCTTCACACTCGGCCACGAACCTACCCAGCAAGAGCTGAAGGTCAGAGCTGGATGAAGCTAGGAGGACCACATCATCCGCAAAAAGCAGAGACGAGATTCTCCTGCCACCAAACTCGACACACTCCACACCACGGCTGTGCCTAGAAATTCTGTCCATAAAGGTAATGAACAGAACCGATGACAAAGGGCAGCCCTGGCGGAGTCCAAACTTCACTGGGAACAGGTCCGACTTACTACCGGCTACGCGGACCAAACTCACGCTACTCTGGTAAAGGGACTGAATGGCCCTTAACAGAAAGCTACCCACCCCATACTCCTGGAGCGTCCCCCACAGGGTGCCCCTGGGGACACGGTCATAAGCCTTCTCCAAATCCAGTAAACACATGTGGATTGGTTGGGCAAACTCCCATGCCCCCTCCATCACCCTTGCAAGGGTATAGAGCTGGTCCACAGTTCCACGGCCAGGACGAAAACCACATTGCTCCTCCTCAATCTGAGATTCAGCTATCGATCGGACCCTTCTCTCCAGTACCTTGGAGTAGACCTTTCCAGGGAGACTGAGGAGTGTGATCCCCCTATAGTTGGAACACACCCTCAGGTCACCCTTCTTAAAGATGGGGACCACCACCCCGGTCTGCCACTCCACAGGAACTGCCCCCGATGACCACGCAATGTTACAGAGACGTGTCAACCACGACAGCCCTACAACATTCATAGCCTTGAGATACCCAGGACGAATCTCATCCACCCCCGGGGCTCCGCCGCTGTGTAGTTGTTTGACTACCTCAGCAACTTCTGCCCCCGAGATTGGACAGTCCATCCCCAGGTCTCCCGGCTCTGGTTCCTCCTCGGAATGCGGCCGTTGCAACTATTACTATACTACAACTCTTACTACCATACGTACAATGTTAACTGTACATTTTCAATAAATGAACCTAGTGTTTTATAGGTTTAAATAGACACAAAATCTTGATTTTATTCATTCTACTGGTAGTTTATTTTGCTCAAATTGAAATTGAGGCATGCCTCTAATTCTGGCCTCCTTCCAATAAAGGCCTGAACCAGGATGGGCTTGAGTAAAGAAAGGCCGGGCCTGTACTAAAGGATTCACGGTATTTAACAGATTTTTACTGTTATATAAATAGATCTGAAGAAATTATAAAGGCTACTGACACACATACAACAACTACAACTACTACTACTACTACTACTACTACTATTACTACTACTACTACTACGACTACTACTATACTACTACAACAACTACAACTACGACTATTACTACAGCTACTACTACTACTACTACTACTACTACTACTACCACTACTACCACTACTACTACTACACAACTATTACTACTACTGTTAATACTACTACTACTACTACTACTACAACTTTGTAAAAATGGTGATGTTATCAAACCAAAAACCTTTAAAGGCTGTTATACTAAATGTTTGTGTGGCCGTGAACGTTCTAACTGAAAGATGTTTTGGGGTAAATCTCCGGAAGCGTGTCCCTGACAGCAACAGCACTGATCCAGACGTCCAACAGGAACTGCCAGCAACCAAAATAATAACTGGATAAAAGTAAAGAATAAAGATTTGAAAGACAGTGGTGTGTTTCACGGAGTTTAATCAAGCCAGTCGCATTACGTAAAAATTTATTTGCATAAATGTTTCTATTCTTGAGTGAAACGCCTTCGATTTTCAATCAAAGGATGAAATCAGATGGCATGATGAGAGGCAGTTGGCTTTGCCTCCTCAGGTTGAGGATCTCTCTGTGCGCTTAGTGACATGTCATGTTTTAGTTTATGCACAAAGTAGAACCCAAAGTGTGTGTGTGTGTGTGTGTGTGTGTGTGTGTGTGTGTGTGTGTGTGTGTGTGTGTGTGTGTGTGTGTGTGTGTGTGTGTGTGTGTGTGTGTGTGTGTGTGTGTGTGTGTGTGAAACACATCCTTCTGACCAATCACATCAAACCAGGGGCCCACATCTGATGACTTTGTAGTTTGGACATGTCAAAGGGAGGACAGGTGGACGGAGAAGGACATCACATGAGGACGTTTTCAAGCTTTAAATTATATAAAACAGGGCAAGCAACTAGAAAGCATGTCTTGTCTACTGTATTTATGATTTTCTAATTTAATTTTTTATGTAAATCAGTCCTGGTGAAATGTGGAAAATTACTATGCACCATAATGTCCACCAAGCGGCAGTACTATGCTGAGCTAGCTTTGGAAAAAAACTTGCATTATTGCTTTATTTTGAAAATTTCCCCTCTTTGTTAACACCAAATCACCAAATTTAAACTTTACATAATTTTAATGTGGAAAGCATTTTCAAGAAACCAGGCTTCATGTCCTTTTTTCATGTTTTTTAAGGTGATGAATGATCAAAATCATTCTGGTTGTAACGTGAGGAGCTTCTGGGCTTCATAATGCCCACCTAGCGGCAGCACGAAACAATGCTAGCAGTTTGGGGCTCGACACATGGGAGGCGACAAACGACCGCGATCAGCAAAATTTGTCGCTG